CTCATTTTTAAAAAAATTTAATAACTACATGATTAGAAGAAGCATTTCACTACAGCTTTAACATATTCAGTAACACACTCCAGAGCAAGAGTACATCTCTTTTACAAGTGGGTGCAAGTTTCTAGGTTCACAGTTGAATTAATACAGGTATATATTATTGAACACAGTATAAGCCCTGTAAGACATAAAATTGTATGTTTTTAACATTTAAAAAAGATCTCCATTTCATTTTAGAATATATTTTTCCTTGCAGACAGACTCATTGTTTTTGCTACTAACACTGAGATGTTGGCACTGCATCACTAATCTGTATGTATCTGATTATTACTAGTCATAATCGGTTGTACTTGGATCCTTGGCGCCTGTGTATGTCCATAAAGTCATTGGGCAGATTTCAACAATGTTGTTTATCACCTCTATTGATTAGCATGACATAAATTTCCATGCTTCCTCCTAAAATATAATACATTTTAAAAATTGTTGATTTCTCTCTCTCTCTCTCTCTCTCTCTCTCTCTCTCTCTCTCTCTCTGTGTGTGTGTGTGTGTGTGATCACACAGAACATCCCAAACCATCTTATTCAACTATACATCCACTTCCCAGATGGCATGCTCCCATAGCCTCCCTCCCCCAACTAGATCCTTTATACTCTGATATCCCTGCTACTGTCTCCTCTGTAAAAAAAAAAAGAGCTTTCTCCATTCTATATATCCAGCATTTGGCATCATTTGTACTCTTGATCTAAGCTAGTTTGACTGGGGTTAGATAAAATCTTAAAGTGGTTTTAATTTGCATTTCCCTAATTATTAGTGATGTTGGACATCTTTTAAGATGTTTCATAGCCATCTTTACTTCTTCTTTTGAGAACTCTCTGTTCAGCTCCTTAGCCCATCTTTTAATTGTGTTACTTCCTATCTTAATTCTCTGTTTTTTGAGTTCATTGTATATTCTGGGTATTAAACCTCTGTTGGATGTGTCGCTGGTGAAAATTTTCTCCCATTCTGTGGGTTTTCTGATTGCTTCCCTGGTTGCCTCCTTTGATGTACAGAAGCTTTTTAGTTTAATGAGGTCCCATTTGGTAATTCTTGACCTTGTTTCCTGAGCAATTGATGTCCGGTTTAGAAAATCCTTTCCTACACCTATATCTTGTAGCTTTTTCCCAATGTTTTCTTCTGACAGTTTCAGAGTTTCAGGCTTTACATTGAGGTCTTTGATCAATTTGGAATTGACTTTTGTGCAGGGTGAAAGATAGGGGTTTAGTTTCATTCTTCTATAGGTGGAGATCCAGTTTTGCCAGCACCATTTGCTGAACATGCTGTCTTTCCTCCAGTGAATATTTTTGGCCCCTTTGTGAAATATCAGGTGGCTGAAATTGCATTTACTCATATTTGGGCCTTCAATTTTGTTCCATTGATCTATGGGCCTATTTTTGTGCCGGTACCCTGTTGTTTTTATGACTATGGCTCTGTAATAAAGCTTAAAATCTGGTATAGTAATCCCCCCGGGATTGCTCCTAGTGCTCAAGGTTATTTTGGCTATCTGAGGTCTTTTGTGCTTCCATATGAATCTTAGGATGGTTTTTTCCAATTCTGTGAAAAATGTCATGGGGATTTTGATTGGCATTGCATTGAATCTATAAATGACTTTTGGTAAGATGGTCATTTTCAGAATATTAATTCTTCCAATCCGTGAGCATGGGAGGTCCTTCCATCTTCTGATGTCTTCCTCAATCTCTTTCTTTAAAGAATTAAAATTTTCACGGTAGAGCTCTTTATTGTCTTTGGTCAGGTTTAGTACTAGATATATTATTTTATTTTTTGCAGCTATTGTGAAGGGGAGTGTTTCCATGCGCTCTTTCTCTGATTGTTTGTTATTGGCATATAGGAAGGCTACAGACATTTGTAC